GGGGCGGGGCGGGGGGGGGGGGGGGGGACGCAGCCCCGCGGGCGAGTCTCACAAAGGCTTCGCGGCTACTTCGCCAGAGTGCGCGCCCCCGGCCCCGCGCCACGCCCCCGAGGCCGGGGGCCGCGGCCCACAGGCCGTCGAGAGGGTGCCTCTGCCGAGAGCACCCCGTCGTGGCGTTGTCGGGCCGCGATCCCGACATCGCCTCCGTCCCCCCTCTCGCTCGCACTGACGGGGCGTGCCGTGGGGTGCGAGCGAGACGAGCGCGCCTCGGCGGGCCACCTCATCTTCATCGCGGCCGTTTGGCGGCTGACGGATCGCCGACACGGCCCCCCGGCGTCCCCGAGGTCTCTCTCGCACTCGTGGGGCCCCGGGGCCCCTCGTGTGCGAGCGAGAGGGACGGGCGGCCAAATCGCGGCCCGTAATGAGCCGGTCACCCCGCCGCTGGACACGCCACCCGGCGGGCCCGGGACAGTCGCTCCGTCTCTCTCGCACTCGCGGCGGCGCTCCGTAGGGGTGCGAGAGAGACGGACACCTTCGCGACCCTTGAGGCCCCAGGCCGAGCCAGGCCGACACTATCGGCGTCGTCGCCCTGATGGCGGCTTTCCCGCGCCGTGATGACGACCTCCGGGATGACCGCGACAGATGCGCGCCAGCGGGCCGCTTCCCTGTCTCTCTCGCACCCCAGCGCGACGTTCCGCGGGTGCGAGAGGGACAGAGCGGCTGCTCGAGACAGACCAGAGCACGCGGGCGGAGGTACCCCGCGATGTAGAGCGCGCACAGAAGACCGGTGGAGGCGGACAAAAATCCAGACGCGTTTTGAGCCCCAGAGTGGGTAAATGGGACTCGAACGAACGTGTGACCCCCCCAAAGGGATGGCTCTCCGAACGGGGAAATCCTTTGGGGGGTCACACGTTCGGTTCGAGTCCTGCTAAGCGTTTGGGAAAGCTCAAAAGCGTCTCGAGTTTTGTCCCCCTCCACCGGTCTTCTGGCCCACTGTGGCACGCCGCCTCGCGCGGGGTATCGCCCAACAAAAAACACAACAACAACAACAACAACAAAACACAATTGGCGTGTACGCGTGCTTTCCTTCACTCCGATTTTGGACTCGCGTCTACTTCCGTCCGGGAATTGTTTCAAGTCATTTTGCCCAAGATAGTACTCAGCGCGCCTCGACGCGCGCCTTCAGGCACGCCCGCGTCGACGCAATACCGTGACTTGCATCGCACACACAGCCACTTCCCCCTTTTCGCTCGCCTGCAGGACGAACGTTCGCTAATCTTGAGAGACATGTGGTGTGTGTGTGTTTTATCGTTTTTTGCGTGCTCGCACTATTCGGCAAGGGGCCCTCCTCGGGTCACCGTAAATTGAAGGAGACAGGGGGTGCGAGAGAGAGGCAAACAAGTGTGGAATGATAATGCCCAAGCAAACCCCTTCGAAAATAATGCCAGGCCCGGCAAGATGGGCCCAGTGCGGGAGCGAGTGAGCAGGGGGGGGGAAAAGGGGTTTGGAGGGACAGAGAGAGAGAGAGCGAGAGAGAGAGGGGGGGGTTGCTGCTAATTGGCTGAGCGTAGCGAAGCCCATGCCGTTTTTGGGGCGCACCAAAAAGTGACTGGTCGTGAGTCTGTCTGTCCGTCTGTGAGTCTGTAGCGTACACGCTCACGTTTCTCAGCAACTACAACACCATTGTTCCCAAATTTCGTATTGAACATCTCCAAAGTGTCCCACAGGGGGAGTTTATCTTAGATCAACAATTATCATCGTTGAAATATTCAAAACATCTTTTTGAACTAGGTTATTAGCGTTGTTTGGTTGGTAGCAGTGTGTGGCTTCCAATTTCTCAACCGGCTGCCGCGCTTCCAAGCCGTCTGCAAGACAGGACGGTACTTATGCAAATAAACAAACTGAAGAGAAAAGGGGCTCTCAAATAGGTTCTGAGTTCGTTTTTAACATTCTAGAATGTTTTAAAACCCTTCCGGAGTGTCAACAGAGGAAAATACGAAAACTGAAAGTGAGAATGGTTTGCGTGTTTCGTGCCCCTCTCCCTCCTCCCCCGTCACAGGGGAATCTTCCTTCAGGTCAGTGCACTGTGAGTGTAGTTGTGGACTGAAAATAGAATGTTTTCTTTGCCTGTTACTTTGTGTGTATCTACTGATTTTATTTTCTCTGATACCATCCTTATTTTTAAATTTATTTTTAAAATTTCCCTAGAAAATCAAATTAGGTAAATGCATGAATAATTCTGTTGAAATTAGAAGACAAGTTACATGTCTTTGTTTGACTCGGGAAATGACATCCTATTTTAATGCTGCAACCTAACATAAATATTCTTGTACTAGCATTTTTGATTAAAAGAA